GTGGTCGACTATGTGGGAGTCCAGCGACATAGCCGTTACGTTAACTGCTGGTCCCCAAAATTATTATTATTTTTAATTCACCAGAAAGGGATAGAGAGAGAGAGGGTGAGGGGGAGAGGAAGCAAAAGAGAGAAAGAGAGAGAAAGAGAACACGACAGAGAGAGAAAGTGAGAAAGCAACAGGTCTGGGACTTGAACTGCAGTCAACCATGTGGAAATCCAGCATCTTAACCACCATGGCCCCTGCTGGTCCCTCTCTCTCTTTAAAAAAACAAAACAAACAAACAAACAAACAAAAAACAAGTAGATGGAGGCCAGCAGGTGGCACGGTGATTGGAGTGCTAGACTCCCACATGGCTGACTGTGGTTTGAGTCCCAGACCTGGTAGCTTGCTTTCTCACTCTGTCTCTCTGTAGCGAGCACATGTGGCCTACAGCAAATTAAAAAAATAAAAGGAACCAGCAGAGGGCGTAGTAGTTATGTTGCTGGACTCTCACATGGTCAACTGCAGTTCAAGTCCCAGACCCAGTGGCTTGAAACTCATGCTGGGTGCATAGGAGTGTGTGCCCGAAATCCTGAGGGTAATGGAGGAGAGGAGATTGTGGTTGGCCATCTCCCCTGGAGGTAAGTAAGTGTGTGTGTGAGTGTGTGTGTGTGTGTTTGTGATCTGCTGTGGGAGGCAAGCAGGTACTGTGCTGTGATGTAACACAGCCACTGAGTGACAACTGCCCTGACTTTTGGTTCAGTGCTTGTCTGCCACACAGAGCTGCCAAGTACTCGTCAGTATTTTCCTCTCAAATGAAAGGTGAGCAACCGACGTGTGGGAAAAGCTACCGTGTGAGGAATTTATATGCAGAAATTTGACCATTAGATCTAAAAAGCATTTCTAAGACAAATTTTAAAAAGTTTTGTCTATAAATATCAACTAGGTATTTTCAGTTTTAAGAACAGTATTTACTTATTTTTATTTATTTATAATTTATTAATTGCATACAGTTAAAATTTAGTAAGATGGGTGGCCAGCAGGTGGCGTGATGATTAAGGTGCTGGACTCCCACATGACTGACTGTGGTTCAAGACCTGGACACAGTAGAATGAAAATCACACTGAGTATGTGTATGTGCCCAAAATCCAGAGAGGAGAATGATGGAGAAAGGATTGTGGGGTGACCATCCCCCCTGGGTGGTGATTTCTCACTTTCCCTCTGTCTCTCTGGCAAGGTGCTCCATGGCAAAGACAAACAAACAAACAAAAACTATCAAGATGTGAGTTTGACTTCTATTGTGGAGGGTAGTTCTACTTTGATAGGTAAGTCACTTTTTTATAGTACTGAAAGAATTCATAAAGACCTGATATTACAAAAGTAGTTATATTTTGCTATTACAAAAGTAGTTATATTTTTCAAGAATCTATTAGGTTGTTGGGAAAGTCATGACACGTTTTTCTGTTTTTCTATACAAAACTGCGTCATGCCTTTCCCGATGACCCAATGTACTGGGTTAACAGCTGAGGTTATAGTATACTAAGGAGATGACACAGATGAATGTGACCCTAGTGACTTCATTTCATAAACAGATTAGTGGCTCACTTACGGCTGCTCTTCACTCCACATAGATAGCAGCAGTCTTCCAAGTCTGTAAGGGGTTGAAAAGTAAAATAGAAAAGATCTAAAAACATCTACATTTTCTACTTACTTGAGGTATCTTGGGCTTGTTGGTTTCTTCTAAGGTTTTCTCTCAGTACCCGGATCATTTCTTTCTGATGTTCTACAGTGGCTTTTGCAGCAGCAATTCTAACAAGAGCAATAAAAACACATAAAAGTCCAGCAACAAATACTCTTTATGGAAGAAAGAACAGAACCACTGTCAAGAATTTCTAATACATCACACTGACATCACATCTGTGAGCAGGAGAGAAGCCTGTGTGAGACCTCTCTGGTATCATGTACTTTATCGCTACACCACCATCTAATTAGAAACACTCTCTTTGCGGCTGGCAGGTGGCATGGTGGTTACGGTTCTGGACTCCCACATGGTCAATCATAGTTCAAGTCCTGGATGTGGCTTGCTTTCTCATTTTCCCTTGCCCTCTCTCTGATCAAATTAGAAACAAAAATAATAATAAATAAAATAAATAATTCTTAAAAAAAAAAGTACTGTGTTTGCAAAATTGGTACATTTTCTTGACATTCAGAAACTAGGTCTATTAAAATTTCTGGAGCCCAGTGGCTCTTAATAAGATATTAGACAAAATTATATGTGGAGATGCCACAAAACACAATTGGGCTGTTACCGCAGGCTCCTAGACATGTCTCGAAGGAATAATTACCAGACATGAAAGAACAAAGGCATCTCTGTTTCTAGTGTCAGGAAAGTAAATCCTGACCGCAGCTCTGCGCCCCAGTGACAGCCGAAGCCGCTCTGATCCTGGTTTCCGAGTGAGAGGCAGTTACGGCTGTGCACTTAGGCATCAATCAGCACTGGTAAGTTACAAGCCTTTCTGCCTTTCTACAGACAATAAAGTATCTGCTAATTCTACCCTTTGTGTAGTGAAGAACATACGGGGTATATGTCTCACTAAAGCGAATAGATCTTACCAACTGATGGCTGGTCAGACAGCCATGAAGATTCACAGGGTACTACTTTTGGGCAGAATTAGAGATCATTAAATAATTTAAGATTTATAGGAAACATGAAAAGTGTTAGGAACCAGAAGGTATCTTAAGACACCTCCTTTTATTGGTTGTGAGTGTAAGGACCAGATAGACCAAAAGGCTTGCTTCAGGAGGTGCCTTAAATGGGGGCATATTTCTAATTCAGTTTCTTGACTCCTTGTTTAATACTCTTGCTATGTTACACCACAAAGAACTTTAAGCATGCTGTTATGTGTAATACTACCCATAAATGAATCAATAAAAAGCATATGGTCTCTGTCCTTAGGCACCTATACAGTCAAAGGAAATAGAATCTTTATACAAAAACACAAGAAGAAGGACATGTGAAATTGAGAGAACCAACTGAAACCTTAGTCAAACTGCTAAACACACTCACGGGTTCTTCGTGTTCACTTTCAAGCATAAAAGGCCATTTTAAAGATGTTTATATGTGAAGTATTCAAAGACATAGTGTGCTAATTGATCAGAATTGTGCTTATTGTTTAAAACGTTGCATGTGGGAACCAGCAGATGGCATTACAGTTACTTTGTTGGATTCCTATGAGTCTACCATGGTTCAAGTCCTGGAGCTGGCAGCTCAAAACTCATACTACGAGTGTGTGGGTGTGCGTGTGCGTGTACACGCATGTGCCCAAAATCCCAAGAAGAGAATGGAGAAGGGATTGGGGCATGGTCATCCCCCTGGGGGGTGATTTCTTCCTTTCCGTCTCTCTGGCATGCGCACATACCCTATAGCAAAAATCTCTCTAACTCTGCATATGTAATGCAAGTTTAAAATCTGAGAACGTTTCCTTTTTTTTAATGAAAATTAACAATATTTTTTAAATTTTAAAAAGCTAACTAATGCAAAGAAATTTATATAGTTTATGAAGGAGATTTAGTCATTAAAGCTGTGTTCAATTAAGTCAAAGACATACTCCTTTTCAAATCCTTTGGTATCCTGCATCCTCTCGAGGTCTGCTTTCACCAGCTTCATTTTGAGATCTTCAATTTCTTCTTTATAGGGCTTAGCTCCTAAAGCAATTTTGCCCTAGAGAAAAGAAAAATTTAAAAAATGATTAGGACAGTTTCAATTTTTCCAGTTTTAAATAGTGGTTAGCTACTTTTGCTCTGGTTAAGAATGTTTTAAAATGGTAACCACCACTCCCCAAATTAGGAAAACCAGGAAATGAATCCATTTTAACTGACTGATAATAACTAGACGTTTGAACTGAAGTATGATCAGAGCTAATATATAATTAGAGATAATCACATTTCTTTCTGTTTTGTTTGTCAGTGCGTGTAAGTTTTCAGCAGTAAGAGAGGCTGGGGTGCCCTGGGGACACTGGCTTTCTTGCTGCTTCTCAAACATGTCTAGAATATTTCTCTTCCAGGATCTGTGCATTTTCTGTTTTCTGTGCCTGAAGACTCTCCCTTGGTTACACAGTTCACCCTACCACCTTCTTCGGATCATCTGATCTCGGTGTGACTCTCCTTTATTCCTCTGATAAGGTGAACTCTCTTTCCCCACACAGGCCCATGTTAGCCTTGCCTGGTTTAATTTTTTCTTTTTCCCTTGTACTTGTCAACATGTGACGTACCCCTGGATCTGTGTAACACCCCCATTTACATTTTACATGTTAAGGTCATTTATTTTCTGTCTTCCTGCTGGCACAGACGCTGCCTTTTTTCACTGCATCTGTCAGTGGGACAGTGATGGACACAGCTGGGCTCAGCAAATGTCTTGAATAAATAAAAAATGTGATCACTGATCTGTTTTATAATATGAAAAAAGTTACTTTCAAAGTTCTACAACCTTGCAGTTAGATTTCTTGGTTTCTAGATCTACCAATAATTGTGTACAAAAATAAAAAGATGAACATTATTTTCTCTTGCCTCTCTGCTACTGTCTCATTGAATGCACCCAAATTTTTAGAACGAGGTTAATGAAAAGAGCAGGCACCCTTGACTCGCTCCTAACTCTAACTCAGGGAAGAGGCACTGGAGGGGGCGGCAGACTGTGATGCCTCTCAGAACCAGACTCGAGCAGCAGAGGTGTGTGAAGTGGCTGGAGTGGAACCAAAGGCAGGGGTAGGTGTGATAAACGAGGTGACTCGTCTAACGCCGGTCCAGACCACGAGGCTGCCTGGCTCAGTGACGGGGGCAGTGCATAGGAAACACATTCGTATATGCACTTATCTAACAGTGTTACAGATTTAGATAAGAAGTAACTTTGTTTTTGAAAATGAAAAAAATATATTTTAAACTATGAAGAACATTCATGTATTTCAAAAATTATTTTTCTAGCATGATAAAATATTTTACATAAAACTATGGTCTTGCATTTCGTTTCTAAGTTAAATCACTTCATTTTTTTCAAAGCTTGAATATTCAGACATATACAGATCACAGAGCTGCAGTGACAACGGGGGAATGGAGAACGAAATTAGTGCCGCATTCAACGGGTTGAAAAACAAAACCATTTTTACTGTAAAGTGAATCCCAGTTACCTCAAGTTCTTGGATTGTTTCTTTTGTTTTTTTGAGGTACTTATGTGATTCATTGACTTCGGCTTGAAGTTTCGTTACTTTGTCGTTAGTCATCTCGAGCTCTTTCTGCATTTTTATAATCGTGCCTTCCTTGTGTCTAGCACTCTCCTGAGCTCCACGCAGTGAGGTTTCTAGCTCCCGGATTTTCTATTAGACAAAGAGAAGAAGGAAGTAAGATCTCGCATGGAGACAGAGCCACACACACACACATCTGGGACAAAGACGACATAGCATTATTAATTTCTCAGACTGCATTTACAAGGACAGAAAAGAGAGGCCAAATACCACTCAATCTAGAAATAAGATTTTGTTTTCATTTAGAAGATATTTCAATTAAAATCAATAAGCCATTATTTTACATTAAAATTTGTCAGCAAATTCTGAACCATGCAGATAAAACCAGCATACAGGTCATGTACTTGCTGTTAGCACAACGCCTTGCACATTCAAGAGACACTCACCTTCCGAGGGACACTGCTTAAAAAATACACATAGGGCAGAGCCACAGTGGTGCACAGATAGCACTGCTGTCTGGGAGTGTGGAAGCCGCATGGGAGACACAAGTTCAATTCCCAGGCCAACCTGAACACGCTGGGAGCACCAGCAATCCTGCCTAATTGAGAGGCTGGGGCAGGAGGATCGTAACACGGTGAGCCCCTATCAGAATACCTACTTCTTCTCTCCCTTTCACTCTTTCTCTCCTAAAGAATGTGTGTGTGCGGGGGGCAGGGGGCTGAGGAAAGCACATTTGTTAATTGACTCTAATGCACCTGACATAGCTTTCCCTTTATTTTTATTAATTACTTTTATGGATTTTTATTATAATCTTAAATGACATTCTACACATGTATAGGATACAGTGTGATTTTTAAAAGAGTTATTTTATTTATTCATTCATTTATTTTAATTTGACCAGACACACACACACACACACACA